CAAACAATGTTTTACTAATCACAAGATGGGAAAAGTAAGCTAAAGGAAAGTTTTTCTCTAAAAAAAGTACCTGTAGGATAACAAAATCAATTCTGTAATATTTAAGGCTTGTAACACACAAATCGAGAGACAAGCAACGGACTTGCTTTTATCATCACGCATCTTGAAGATACCACTATCCATCGATCAGATTTCTTTCGAACCAGGAAAAAACTTCAGAACCAAACAAAGCGATTCGTTGTTAATAATAATAAAAAACTAACCTAGACTATACAATCAAGCAAGACCCGGTTCAATTACTTACACAAACTCGACCCTAAATTAGCAGGCATAAACATGGACAAAAGGAGAGAAATCGAACATGCTGCCATGAGGTAGAGGCTGAGCTGATTGCGTGAAAGCAATGAGCCAGGAGAATTTGTTTAGGCTAGAAAAAGTTCATGTATCGTTGATTGCTCTGGCGCCATTCATATATCGCCGATTACTCTGGCGCCGCGCCCTTCATTTATCGTTGATTGCTTTGGCGCCTCTGGCCGGGTGTAAGTATGGGTTAGGGTTTTAAATGTGGAAAATTTAATTAATTATTATTTATTTCTCCGTAATACGGAGTATTCCATCGATATTTATTTGGACTATTTGCAACGTCGGTTAAAATAAAAAACCATCGTAAGAAGTAAAACGGATTTTAGGAGATAATATGTATAACGTCAGTTCTTGCAGATAAATGACGTGAAACACGATCCAATGTACTAAGACGTCAGTTATTTCAAAACCGCCTTAAAATGCCCGACGTAATATCCCATCTTCGTAGTAGTGCAAAAGGGTGTCTCATGGAGATCTGGTTGTTAAGTATGTTCCCCCCACATAGATTTGTGATAATGTAATTTATACCTTATGTAGGTTTGCTATACTCAAGGCTACTGGTGTGATAAGTCTTTCCACTATTCTCACAATACTTACATGTGCTCCCATCTCATACCATTTTCTTTCACTAACTTTTGAGCCTTAATCAGACCAAGTAAAAAAATCAAAATAATACGTAGTAATCTGAAGCTTTTGTTTTCACAGCTTTTTGAAGGTGTTTTCACAATAATTAAGTGTCATAATAACTACTCCACAATGAACGGGTATTGGTGAAGGGGTTGAGACTAAGCGAGGTATCCTGTGGAAGACGTGGCAGTCGCTATGAACTCCTAAACAGAAGGGGGGCCTAGGATATGTCTCTTTGAGAGATTTCAATGTTCCAATCCTGGGCAAACAAGTTTGGAGGCTTGTTAAATATATTAACTCTTTGGTGGGAAAAATTTTCATGGCAAATATTTTCCTAGTTCTACCTTTTAGCAGGCAAAGCTAGGGAGTAATCCATCGTTTGTATGGATAAATATCTTCCAATCACAGAAGGTGCTAGCACGTGGAATGCGCCGGAAGACAGGCAATGCACAATCTGTCTCTGTGCGGAAAGAGCAGTGGCTACCTGGTCTAAGGGATGGGATGATGAACTCGGCACCGCCAGTCGGAATAGCGGACATGAATGTAGCGGCCTTGTTGAATGTGATGGTCCCATGTGAGGTAAAAGTCCTGGGGGGGGGGGGGTGAATAGACTTTTAAATCTTTTTCATTTGTCAACCCTTTTTCCTCTAATAGAGTAAATTCCAATATCTTTTGGGAGATATTGAAACATTCAACGGGAGTCTTGACCTCAAGAGTGTGACACTTTATAGTAACAAAGGTTATGACGCTTTAGTTGGTTGAGAGATGGTTTAAACAAAGTACAAATGTGTTAGCCAAAATCAGCTTTCTCAAGGAGCAGGCTGTCGATCCTTAAGGGTCGGAGCAGGCTTCCGAACTGCAAGGAGCAGGCTGCCAAGCTTTTAGGAGCCGACTGCTGATTGAGGTTATTGCTTCAATGTTAAAGACACAATAAAGAACTATGATCTTAAAACATTGTTGGACTTTAAGAACTAACTAAACTCATATGTGATAGAGTATTAATTCTAGAGAGAAGTGAGAGCTAGAGAGAGAAAGTGAGTAATTGTATTTCTCAACTTCCAATCCCCCATAGTTAGCCCCTTGGGGTCTATTTATAGGTAAAAAGATGGATTTGGGCCCCTAGCTTTTGGCTTAGGAGGCCCATTACAATAATCATGCCTTCTTTGGGCGAAATAAGGCCACTAATGGGCCGAGTACAATACTTAGTAAAATGATACAGAAAAACGTGTTCTGCCTAAGATCCGCGGACGACGCGGCTCGGACGATGCGACCCGGACGATGCGACCCAAGACGATGCGGCCCTCTGGCCGTGGTACGACGATTCCCGATGACTACTTCTTTGGACGTCGCGGGTCATCTGGACGAAGCGCGTGGCATCGGTGTCTCTTTTCGGGGCTTTTGGGCCGTTGAGTATGTGGGCCTTGGGGTCCAAGCCCATATACTCTATCAGGAGTCCCCCACTCTCTGAGCTGAGTCACAGACGAAGCGAAAGGGAGTAATCTTGTTTCTTCTTTGCGGCCGTAGCGATGCCAATTCCTGTTTTGGTGTGTGTCGACGTTGCGCGCCTCTGGGGTTCTCGGCCTTTGCGATATCTTTCGCTTGATTGAGTTTGTACGTAGCGGTGTCCAGTGTGTGTCCTCTGAGACGAGGCGCCAGCTTTATCTGAGTCCCTATGACGCGAGGCCTTGTCATCCGATCTCCGACGAAGCGTGATCTTTTGATCAAGATCAGACGGAGCGTACCCTTGTGACCTAGGGTCGCTGCGTTACATTCTTTGCTTCCTATTCGCGGCTGATGCGGCTCTTTGATGTTGGTGGATGTAGTGGTTTATTTGTGGAAAAGCTGGACGTAGCGTCCTTGCATACGGTGCGTTTCATTCCTCATTCTTTCCTTGTGTTTAGACGATGCGGTTACCCTCGTTGGTAGATGTAGCGGCACCACTCATGAGTGAGCCGTTGCGCTTTTATTTTTGTTTGGACGAGGCGTTTCACTTTTTTGTGCGTAGCTGGTAGTCCCCCAGTGTGCGCAGCCGTTGCGCGCTAGATCTTGTATTTTAGGTTTTAAATTTTGGGTTCTGTGGCCGATGCGATCCGCAATGCTCTTGAGACAGCTGATGCGACTCTTCATGCTTATTTGCGGTGAATTGTTCATTTTTTGTCGTTGGTGAGTCGTAGCGCACCCTTTTGTATTAAGGCCGTTGCGGTTTCCCTTCTTGTGGCCGATACAGTCCCCCAGTCCCCCACTCCTTTGGCCGAAGAGCATCTGAGGCACAAGGGAGTAATGAGCCGATTCGGTACCTGTGCGTTGGTCGCGACTCCAACCCTTAGGCGAACCTGTCCAAGGTAACCCTGTGGGAGAACCCTTGGACGAAGGCCGCAATGCCAGGGTTATCATCGACAATGCGCGCACAAGCAGCCGTAGCGGTCTATTTAAGGTTTCTTGGGTTGTTGTGAGGACGTCGAGTTTATGCCGATGCGTTCCTTATTCGGGAGAATGGGCCGATGCCTGTTCTGGAGCTTTGTAGTAATTGGGCCGTAGTGGTACTCGGCTGATGCCCTGCTCTTTGTGGGGTTGAGTTGGGCCGTAGAGGCGTTTGTATGAGGGATTTTGAATTGGTACTCCTTGATTGGTTGGAAGAGAGGTGGCCGTTGGTGGAGCCAATGGGATGGCGCCACGTGTAGTGACCGTTTGGAAGTTTTCTATAAATACCCCCTATTCCGAAGCCACTTCCTCATTTGCGCCTTTGCTGTTGTCGAATTGCTGCCCAAGTCCTTCTAGAGAGAGAAAGCTCTGAGAATTTCCAAGTGTTCGTCACATTCTTCGAATCTTTAAAGGTTAGATACTTAATTTTTCTTTGATTTCTTCATATTCTGCTCCTTAGGGTGTTAGATCTAGTGTTCTTTAGGGAAGTCACTTTGATCCGAAAACTACCCTTAGGACGTAGCGATAGTTGTTATGCCGTTCCCTGACGGCCGTAGCGTCCCCTCTCCAATTGACTTAACAGCTTCGCTGAACGAATCCGACTGGCCTTTTGACGACGAGGACACATCTCCCGGGGTTGATCTAAGAGTGGTGGAGGCTTTTGAGATTGAGATGGAGAACACTGCGGATTATCGCACCTCTGTGGACGAGGAGCGTATGAGTGCCGATGCGGGTTCCCAACGCTCTGGTGAGGACGAAGCGAGCTCCGACCCCAAACTTCGTGGCGACGATGCGGGTGATGCATCCTCAGCCGCTATTCCTTGTCCTCTTCCGATCACTTCGGTCCCTGGTGCTGCTTCGTCTTCGTCTGGCCCCAAGAAGCGTAGGTCGCGTCGTCGGGCGGGGTTATCAAGTAGCTTGTCACAGTTGGATCTGACCAATATTTATATTATAAGGCCGGAGGGGTCCCAGGGTGAATATCAGGTGGCACAACTCTACGTCGGACCTTATGGGACGGTCAGGGCGCCGAAGCCAACGGACCATGTCCTGGATCCGCCGCCTGGTTACTTCGGAGTGTATCCGATGAGTTTCTCCCAAGGTCTAAGGTTCCCTCTCCCTTCATTCGTTGTGGAGTATCTTCGTATGATAGATCTTCCCCCGGCTTTATTGACCCCGAACAGTTATTCTCTCATTGTTGGGTTCCTTATCCGATGCGATGAACTTGGTATTGAACCGACGACGGCGCTGTTCATGAATTTGTATCGTATCGGCCGGGGAAGCCACGAGAACTGTGCTGGGTATGCGGCCCTACAACAGTTGCCGAAGAAAAGGTCCTTTACCGACCTCCCATCATCCATTCATGGGTGGAAGAGCAAGTTCTGCTTCGTGAAGTTGGCCGAAGGGGTATTCTTTCCTTCTCAAGGGCATAGTGGCATCTTTAATTTGCATAATCCGCCGAAGAGTACCGAGATCGATGCCCAAGTGGAGGCATTCCTGAAGGGTGGGCCACGAAGTGTTAACACTTATATCACCGAGTTCAAGATAGCGGCTCTTGGGATGATGCGGTACTATATACCAGGCGACCCGGATTGCGGTTTATGGCCGAGGATGTCTGGATATTTTGAGCAGGCCGATGGGCCCCGTTTAGGCGTCCCGGCCGATGCCGAAGGTTGATCACTTTCTTTTGACTTACATTATGGTTTGCTTTACTTGTTTTTCTAACCCTTGTTTTTGTGTGCTACAGACTTCACCATGAGCCGGAAAATGTTTATGTCCCAGGCCAAAAAACTGGTTGCCAAGGAGATGGAGGCTGCTCAGCAAGCCGATGTGTCAAAAGGTTCTGGTGACGGCTCCAAGTCACAGGCCGATGCGGCAAAAAAAGCCGGTGGTGAAGAGGAAGAAGGCCGCTGAGGGCCAGCGTACTCTCACCGAGACGGGTCTGGTGCCGTCTCAAGGTGCTAAGAAGACGAAGTCGAACCCTTCCCTCAATGATGCTGCTATGGCCGATGCGCAGGCATCGGTTCAAGGGGGAGCTGCCTCCGATGTACAAGTCATCGAGGATCTGACATTGAATGTCGCCTCGTCCACTTTAGTTCCTGACAAGTCTGGTGCTGCTGCTAAAGAGAGGGCCCGTTCCAGCCGAGACCTGACCTCCGGTCTTTATGAGGTGACGGTGCGGTACCCGCCGAAGGGCGGTTTATTCAATGAGAAGGTTTCTGGGCACGACGTCCTGTTCCATGCCATATCTGATGCTGACAGGGAGTACCTGCGTCGGCAGAGCAAGGATGTGCGTCTCTTTGATGGTGGATTGGACTACGTCGTCCAGGTAAATCTCTGACCTGGTACTTAGTAATTTTTTGTATTCCTTTTCTCTTCTGACGATTACTTGTCTTTGCAGGGGGCTTTCATGCTGATGGAGCAGCAGCGCCGTCAGGAAGAAGAGATTGCTCGTCTTCGGGAGGCCGAGAAGAGGGTGGCCTCGGCGGATGAGGCGCTCTCTTCCTTGGAACGGTTACGTGCCGAGACTGGGTCCTTGGAGCATAAGGCCGATGCGGCTGAAAAGAGAGCCGCTGCTGCTGAAGATGAGGTGAAGCGCCTCAAGGTTCAGTTGGACGAAGAGACCGCTGCCCGTCGGCTGGCGGAGGACAGGGCCGTAAAGCTAGAAGCCGATGTGGCTGCGGCTGCTGACAAAGCTGTTGAGCTCTTCATGGCTGAAGGGTGGAAGGACGAGACTCGGCGCGACTAGAGTTTTAACGTCGTGGCGGAGCGCTTCGAAGCGTGGTCTCAGGAGGAGGCTGGCCGAGCTTGCCTTAAACAGGAGTTTGAAGTCTGGTACGACCTCGGCCAGAGGCGTATGCAGATGTTGATTTACTGCCGCCTCCGTCGTCGTGTAAAGAACTTGAAGCCCAGGGGTATCGGCCTTCCCCGGCTGATGAAGGACCCCGAGGAGGAGTTGAAACTCCCGCTGTCCGAAAGGCAACCCCCCATTCTGAGCTCAGACGAGGAGGACGGGCCCTGGACCGAGAGCGACGACTACCTCTTCCGGAGCTCGGCCAAGTCTAAGAATACCGATGATGAGCAGGACGATGCGGACAGCGGAGCCGTTGAGGGTGGTCAAGTACAAGCTGTTTAGTGTTTCCTTGTACTTGGTTTTCTTTTTTCATTTGTAGTAGTAGTCTCAATGGCCGAAGCGCCGTAATGCATGTAAAGGCCGGAGCGCCCTCCTTGTATGTTTTGAATCATCAATTAAAGATAACTCTTTTTGTCCGAGTGTTTGTTCCTCGCTTCGTTTTCTCTTTATGTTTGGCGTTTGGTTTGTTGGTGTCGCGTCGTCTGAGTGACATTGTTTCGCAAGTTTTTATCTTTGCAAATTTGCCAATTTTGAGACGATGCGTTCCATTATGTCCTCTGTTGATGTGGGCGCACCCTCGCCTCACTGGTATGTGTGTGTGAGGACGTTGCGCGTGTTTCCTGCTTCTTATAATAGGGACGATGCGCCCCTTCGTCTGAACTGTTGTGTTTAGAACATGTGTTTCAAAAATTTGCCAAGTGTCAAAGTTTTCCTTGACGCGACGCTACGTCCGTTGCGTTTTAGGTAAGGCATGGCCCAAAAGTTATGGAATTTTCCTAAGTGTGGGCATCCGAACATGCCTTGCTTGCTTAAGACGATGCGAACAATGTGGGTGGTGTGACGTCTTGGGTATGTGTCCAGTAACGCGTGCCTTTGGAAACTCTTAAGTATCACAATTCCGTTTTTGCGTCTTTTGATTGAGACGTAGCGACCTCCTTTCTTTGAAGACGATGCGCCTCGTCGTCCCTTGATGTTCCATTTTTGCCTTTACATCTTTCCCGAGTCGAGTTTTCGGAACTTAATCCTGAAGTGTTGAGGACGTAGCGCATCGTCTCTGTTGTAGTGTGACTTAGAAAATGTTCTAAGTGTCAAACTTCCTTGAGGTAGGTGTTTTGCTTTGGTTCGTCACTTGGGTTTTGCTATGGTTGGGGCCGAAGCGATTCCCTTTTGTGACGCTATGGTTGGGGCCGAAGCGTGCACTTCGGATCCCTGTATAGTGAAAACCTGATATGTACTTAGCCAAATTTGAGGCTTTGGTTTTTGTGGGGATTTTGTTTTATGCTCGAGGCCGGCGAGTGCACGGTCCGTCGGCTTCCCTCTTTTTTTTTTTTTTTTTTTTTTTTTGGGTGGCCGAAGGGTTACTGTCCCTTCGTCCGTGTGCGGTAGTTTGTCCGCTACGCTCTTCGCGTGAATTAGTGCGAGGGAGTAAATACGCCCTCGGCTTGGTGTCAGTGGCTTCCTTTTTTGGCCTTTCCACGTCTATCGTCGACGAGGGACCGGACAAGGCATCGTCTTTTGACGGCCGCCCTTTGTGGTCCTGAGCGAAATTTTACTGACGGGTGGAGTTTTTGTAACCTCAGCCTTAATTCAGGCCTGTCGTCCTGCGGTTTCCGCGCGGACGACGCGGTATGCTTCTCCGTTTGAAGACGTTGGACCATGCACACAGGTCCTTCGTCCTGCATATCGCCGGCCGATTTGGGTGTTTCACCGCTTGTGCCGATACGATATTTAGGTGCGTTGTTTATTGCAACGGCTTTGTAGGCGCGTTGTGGATCGCAACTGCCTTAGGTGCGTTGTGTATTGCAACGGCTTTAGGTGCGTTGTTTATTGCAACGGCTTTGTAGGCGCGTTGTGGGTCGCAACGGCCTTAGGTGCGTTGTGTATTGCAACGGCTTTGGGTGCGTTGTTTATTGCAACGGCTTTGGGTGTGTCGTTTATTGCGACGGCTTTAGATGCGTCGTTTATTTGCGACGGCTTTAGGTCGCACCGGACCCGGGTGATTACACCACTTAGGCCGATGCGGTCCTTGGGTTTTTTTTGCTCAAATCTTAAAAGATTGGATGAAACATGAATTTTATTCAATAAGTGGCGCTAGGCCGAGGGTGTTTTATTCAACCAATAAGCCGAGGGGTGGGGGACGTTGCCCGCTTCACCACTTCTCGAGTCATTGGTAAAATTTCACCAGGTGGTGTACATTCCACAATCGTGGTACATCTGACCCATTAGGGTTCTTTAGTTTATAAGTGCCGGCTTTGATGACGGCGCTGATGATGTAGGGCCCTTCATATTTGACGGCGAGCTTTCCTCCTTCCGTTGGCTTGCTTGCTTCCCTTCGGCGGAGGACGTAGTCCCCCACTTGGAATTCGCGTGAGCGGACCTTGGCGTCGTAGTAGGATTTGACTTGTCGTCTGTAGTTCTCCGCTCTGAGGTAGGCCATCTCTCGTCTCTCGTCGATGAGGTGCAGGTCCACCTTCATGGTCTCTTCATTGGCCTCGGGGTCGTATTGTGTGACCCGTCGGCTGGGGAGGGTGACTTCAGTGGGAGCCTTGGCTTCGAACCCGTAGCACAAGGAGAATGGTGTCTCCCCGGTGGCCCTCCTCGGCGTAGTGCGGTAGGACCATAGGACGTTGGGGAGCTCGTCGACCCAACTTCCGCCTTCTTCCTCGAGTTTCTTCTTCAGCCCCTCCAAGATGGTTCTGTTGGCGTTCTCAACTTGCCCGTTGGCCTGAGGGTAGGCAACAGAGGAGAAACGGTGCTTGATACCCCATTCTTGGAGGAGGCTTTGGAACGGTTCGGCCTCAAACTGGGTGCCATTGTCTGATATGATCTCCTGAGGCACGCCGAAGCGGGTGAGGATGTTCTTGTAGACGAACTTTCGACACCGCGCTTCGGTGATGCTTGCGAGTGGTTCGGCCTCGACCCATTTGGTGAAGTAGTCGATGGCGACGATGATGTATCTGTTGTTGCCCGCAGCTCTTGGTAGAGGGCCGACGAGGTCGATGCCCCATCTGGAGAATGGGATGGCAGTGCTGACCGGGGCGTAGTTGACGGCTGGTCGGCCAGGTGCCCTTTGATAGTGTTGACATGCGCTGCATTTGCGGGCGACCTCAGCACAATCACGCGCCATCGTCGGCCAGAAGTAGCCTTGGACGACGAGGCGGCGCGACATGCTGAAGGGCCCCTGATGTGATGAGCATACGCCGCAGTGGACTTCTTCCATGGCCACTTCGGCCTCATTCTGGTGTAGGCACCGGAGGAGGGTGCCATTGTATGATCTCTTGTAGAGCTTGTCACCCTCAATGACATAGCTTGGGGCCCTGAGCTTGGCTAGTTTGGCCCTCTCCTCGTCTTCTGGTAGCGTGCCGGAGGTGATGTATGTTGCGATGTCAGTGATCCAGTCCTCCGGCTGGTGTTGGATGGAGAGTATAGGGCTAGCATGAATGCTTGACATGCTCAACTCCTCCACCTTAGCTATCTTGGAGATGTGCTCAGGGGTGTCGGAGCTGAGTTTGGAGAGTATGTCGGCCTCGGCGTTCTCCGCCCTTGGGATCTGAGTGATCTCGTAGGTATCGAACGCCTTGAGCAATTCCGCAGCGGCCTCCTTGTATTGCTTCATCCTCCCTTCTTTGGCCTCGTAGGAACCCTCCATCTGGCTCACTACGAGTTTGGAGTCGCATTTGATTCTGACGTGGCGTGCTTTAAGGCCAGCGGCTAGTCTGAGTCCGCTGAGGAGCGCTTCATACTCGGCCTCATTGTTGGATACTTTGAAGTTGAAGCGTATGGCGTAGTATGCTCTGTATCCTTCCGGGGAGATGAGGACGACGCCACCCCCACAGGCTTTGGTGGCCGAGGACCCGTCCGTGTAGAGGGTCCAGGCTTCGTCCGATTCAGCTCCTGTGGTGGCAACGGCCGTCTCCTTTGCCGTGCACTCGGTGACGAAATCAGCTAAGGCTTGCCCTTTGATGGATGGCCTCGGCTTGATCTCAATCTGGTACTGGCTCAAGAATATTGCCCACTTGATCATCCTTGGAGAGCTGGTTGGGCTCCTCATTAGGGCTCCCAACGGCTGATGCGTGAGGACGTGGACGGGGTGAGCCTGGAAGTAGTGCCCAAGTTTTTTCACCGTGTGGACGATGGCCAGCACCGTCTTCTCAATGGGGGAGTACCTAAGCTCAGCCTCCCGCAACGTCTTGCTGACGTAGAATATAGCTTTTTGTACCCCGTCATCCTCCCTGATGAGTACGGAGCTGACGGCCGACGTGCTCACTCCTAAGTAAAGGAAGAGAGTCTCGCCGGGTTGGGGCTTGGATAGGACGGGTGGGGAGGCGAGATATTGCTTCAGCTCTTCAAAGGCCTGTTGGCACTCCGTCGTCCACTTGAAGCTAGCGGCCTTCCTCATTATCTGAAAGAAGGGGAGCGATTTTTCCGCGGATT